CCCCAAAACCCCCAAAACCCCAAAACCCCAAAACCCCAAAACCCCTCTCGAATTCACTTATATTGACATTATATCTCCAATAATTAAGGACCAAGTCCTTTTGCTTTTGGGAAGTGCTTTGCTTTTGCTCCTTTCTTACTCTCAATTTTGTTGACACTTTGAGCATTTGTCATTGTCTCGACCATTGAAACAATATCCCCTTTCTTCATCTTTTTGGCTGTAATAGGTCTCTTACCACTTTGCAGTCCTTTCTTCTTTTTATCTTTCTTTTTCTTACTCTTTTCAGGATCTTCTCTTTCAGCTCCATTTTCAGTATATTTATAATAGATAGCTTGCTGTTGTTCAGGAGCCGGAGCCTCTAACTGTTCTTCTTCGCCTTCTTCTACAAGAATATTGCTTATCATGTTCTTTACTCTTTGTGTTGCAGCTTCTTTGTAATCTTCTTCCTCAGAGTCATCTTCAAAGTTGAGAATATGTTCATAAAGGAAGTTTGACTCTACGTCTCCGATCTTCTTTCCTTCTTTCTGAGCTTTCTTATTCTTCTTAATGTTGTTTCCTGTATACTCAAGATTGGGGATCTGCCATTCTTTGAGCTCTTCGTTCCATTCTGCTCTACGTTCGATCTTTACATACTCTGAGGCAGGCATATAATTATCAATAATAAGATGTTTTAGTCTTATATCATTAGTAAGTTCTCTGATACGCATCATTAAGCTTTCTCTTTCTCTCTGAATATCAATCTCAAGGTCATTCTTCTCATCTAGGGCTCCTCTGTACTTAGTCCAGATTTTCTGGTATTCTGCTTTCTTACCAACAAGCTCTTCCTGCTGGTTTTTGTACTCTTTTTGGAGGTTGATTTTCTTGTCCTCAGCTTCTTGGAGTTCCTGTTTGATTCTAAGCTGCTCTCTTCTCCTCTCTTCAACATCGGCTTTAGTTTTTTGAAGCTCAATTTCTTGCTTCATGGCTTTGTTCATGACTTCATTTCCTATGAGCACTTTCTCTTCCATATTTTTGAGGCGTTTGAGGAGCTTCTGCTGCTTAGTCTTCGATTTTTCTTGATCCTGTTCCTTCTTCTTAAGGTCGTCTAACAACTTTTGTCTTTCCTCTTCTGCGATGTTCTTTTGCTCGATAATTTTCTTTCTTTGTTCATCAGCTTTAGCCTTGATTAGAGCTTTTTCTTTCTCTATCTTCTTTTCAAGTTTCGCCATTTGTTTCTTGTCAGCCTCATAGACGACCTTTTCAACCTCTACAACTCCTCCAGGACCTGGTGTTCCGTTAGGATTGAACTTTCCACCTCCAGCCATTTCAAGTTGTTCACGAAGTCTCTGAATTTCTTCTTGGAATTCTCTGAGCATTGCATCTTTGGGGTCTTCATTAATCCTAGGCTTGTTCTGAATATGCTTTGCTCTGGATGCATACCTCAAGGTCGACAAGGTTTCATCCATGTTGTAATCAGCAGGGCCGATGTTAGCAATCATCACAGTCTTTGTATTTCCTCCTAAGGAATCCTGTAAGAGACGAGTTAGTTTAGAGTCTCTGTATGGGACATATTGACTTTTTCCATCAACAAGAGAGGAGATTACATGGCATAGGGTGGTTAGGGAAAGATTGATCTTGATAGCCTCTTCAAGTCTAACACCTTCAGCTTGAGTCTTACTTTGCTTCTCAGACCCAGCAAGATCGACCATGTTTAATTTACCAACTTTGATATGAGCTTTACCATCAGCACCTACTTCACCGCATTCAATCGTGACTGTGAAAATTGAGTGAGATCTAGATGACTCGTGGTTCATTTTAGTCTGACCAACATGCCTATTCTTGTTACCTCTTACCATGATCTCCATCAATTTTTCTGGGGTTTCCACCAAAGCTGTAGAGAGATCTTTTACATAAACTCCAGAGCCAGGCTTTTCCTTGAGCTCAAGCTTTTGAACTCCTCCTTTATTGAGCAAATCAAGCACTTCTTCCTTATAAATTTCTAGGTAAGAAGCTCTTACGAGGTATTGCTTTGTCTCATCAATGTTGATAGATTTGAAAATAGTCTCAAATGCTCTAGGGGTAATTCCTTTATGTTCATCACTGTCTAAAACACCTGCCATTGTATGAGTTTTCCCGGTTCCAGTCTGCCCATAAGCGAAAATAGTTCCATTATATCCTTCGAGAATATTTTCAATAATAGGAAAAGCTGTTTCATCAAAGATATCTTTTTGAAGAGTATTTTCGTCGTAGACACAATCGAATGTAAATCTTTTCGGAACTTCATCAACAGATTTTTGGACTAAGATCTCTCCATTAGCATAATCCATATTAACTACCTTTTCTCTGCCTTCTGCTACCTCCTTCTTACTAAGAGGTCTACATCTAATAACGACTCTAACAGATTCAGACTTCTTCTTAATCCCCATTTTTCTCAATTCCTTGCTCTCCATTTGTCTAGAATTAATTCAAAATTATATAATTTTTCAAAATTTTGGATTTTAAATGGGGTTTTGGGGTTTTGGGGTTTTGGGGTTTTGGGG